ACTATCAAAAGACATCAGATGCGTCATCGAAACCACTACTGAAATGAAAATCGAACCGTTTCTTACAAGATAGAAGCTTTAAGACGGTGCTGTACCACTCCACATGACAGTGTCCCAAAATGTGTTCGACCTCAGTGACACAAATGCATCACTCACTCAAGGACGTTGATCGATGGTAATCGATTATCTAATGACTCACTAACAGCCGCCACGTATTCGGACCACAGTCTTTCAACACTCATCTCAGTGTCGGTTCATCAAGTCAAGTTCTTAGTAGCTTTATGCACCGGGTTGGGTGAATGTTCGGCATTTACACCACATTTGTGGATTTGAATCCTGCTTTCATCAGTGCTCTAAAAAGCACTGCTTCGATTATCGTTCAGTCATTCTCACAGGCCGGTCACTGCGACAATTGCTATCAACCGCTTGGAGACTTGACACTCGCTTACCAGATAGGTCAGTCGCAATTACTGTTCAAACTACGCCAGTTCAAATTTTTATTACGATTATCCATTTACTGAACCCGTTTAGAAAAATTAGATGCACGCACCATTGTTTTCATGGAAATCCTCAGACAACCTTAAGGCAAATAACCCAGCAATGCAATTATGTCACAGTTTTTGGTACTAAAACAGCTAGGTTCCAACCCCAGACTGTTACAATCCCTGGTATTCCAAACTCGGTCTACTTGACCTAATACATTTGGAACCGCTTGGATCTGACGAAAATTCGGCGTTTATTCTCACAATGGATAGTTGTTGCGCGTGACTGTCTCCACCGTTTTGACTACATGCGTCCGCCTTCCAGACCAGGTTGAGTATCACACCCTCCTGTCTCATCTGTAAGGTGTTTTAAGGTGTCTGGATAGTGTAGCCAGTCCCATATCAAAGCGACCAACGCCTAAATAACCCAAATCACTCTATCAGTTAATGCTAAAGCTTCTGAAGCCCACTGTCTGGCAGTAATTAGAAAACAATCTCCTTGGTTTATTCCTTCCGATCTTATATTAAAAGACATTTATCGTTGTATCTCACTTCACATTCTTGTTTTGTCCGCTTTTCTGCTTCCATAAAAGTTCACTATCGCTCGATGCATTTTCCCTCGTCCACTCCTGACTGTTCGCGGTCTTGCACCGGAATCCTTTCTTGATCAGTGTTTTCTTTTTGCACTGCTTCAACCTCTTTATCACTCTCTGTACGCCAACTCTAATCTAATCTACCAATTCCAATGTGGTTGCGGAGCCACCTACGTGGGCCGAACAGAGTGACAATTACGCAATCGGATGGTGGAACATATTCCGATTTGGGTTCAAAATCAGCTGACCCAATTGAGGTCAAGTCCGCTGAATAGAAGCGACGGTCGAAACTTCAAGACCCCGTACTCAGCAATTGCTCGACATCTGCTGATGACGCAACACCAGGTCGACCGAGGCACAGCGTTTCGAATTGTCTACAAGTTACAAGTCGCAAGATTGCTAAGGTTTGCTGAAGCGATTGCGATTAATCGATTGAAGCCCCCCCCCCTTGTGTCAGCAAAAATAACTCTCCTTATCCTGGTGATAGTGGTCCTTTTACCCCTCCCTCTTTTATGTTTTGTATGTTCCTAATGTATTTTGCTTTACTTTGTTGCTATGCTAAAGCTCTATATAAACATTGTATTTTCTGCAGTATGCACCATGTTGAGATGCAGCGAAATCGTTCTGGACATTCATCGTGCAGCATTGCAATATGTATTTTTTTAAATTGGAAACAATCGAGTAGCTAAAACAGATTATCTCCGCGCGGCACGAAATTATTTCAATTGCTACTAATCTGAATGTGGAAGAAAACTAGTTTCACGGTTTTTTACTATGCAAGCAACAGGAAGGGAAATATATTGAACAACGTCGGAATTCTACCTCCGACGTAGCTCGCAAGATCATTCAACGCGAAGACAATCAGCTGGGAAAATAGCAAGAAGAGTTTTTCATGGGGCTGTAATAATAGACAATGTAGGCCGTACTTGAGACAAGTTCAAAGTTTCAGTACAATTATCCGTTTACCAAACCAGTGTATCTTAGACGAGTCAAACGTTCACCCAGCCTCATCATCCCTTGAACATTTTCCATTCCGAATTTCCCCAAATGACGCATCGTTTCATAACGGATTCTCCTGTGGTGATTCTCCACCAACAGTTAGGCAGCACCGGATTCAGAACTTATTCTCCTCCTATGCCAGTCCGAAGACCACACGACCGATCGGATTCATTTATCGATCGCTCGGATGGTTCAGCCACAACAAGGGGTCTGGTGTTTGCTAACAGCTAACCCGAGCGAGAAACGACACATTGATTACAGTCGCGAGTCTTATGTGGTCCCATTGCACTTTGACCGTACATCAGGAGTGCCATCACCACACGGATGGACTGCACATGAGAACGAGAGCATTACAAACAGTACAAGTGGGTAATCAGACTGTCGTGTTGGGGTGAGGAATTCTGAGTGCCGCAAATCGCACAAAATGATCCAATCAGACCGCACAGAGGGTTAGAGGAAGTTACTTGTTCGAGGGCACAGGGTAGAGGGACAAGGCACCGTGAAACGATGGTGCAATCGCACTGCATAGTGGCGCATATCGAATGATTTTTGTCTGGTATGCATAAACAATAGAGTAAAGTGAAAACTTCGGAAGCACGGGATAAGCTTTTGCTTGTTCACTGGTTCTATCAGTAGCAAGAATTCGGCACAACCCGGAACGCGAGTCGAACACTGGACCGTACAGACAGACAAAGTCATCAACTGGTAGACCACCTGGCAAATCAACAACCAGTTCACTTTGTCTAGCTATACAAGACATAACCCCAATGATATTTTTCCAAGTTTATGGTGACCAACCACCTGTGTTCATCTCAATGCAATGAATCGTTCTCGAACCTTCTATGCCGATCCACTTGTGATCATTGGCAACTACTTCATTTTCGAAATACTCCAAAATATCAATGTGAGCATAAAATCCGTGGTTTATTGAAGTGTTTTTTTTTGTCTAGAAGTTTGGCAGGTAGCCAGCGGATCCGGATCAGTAATTGATGGATTAGTTCGGTAGTCAATAGCTACCGCCGGATCATGTGTAGCGAATTCCACTGCATCAACTAGAAAAACCAATGAAAAATGGTATAGGTCTTCGAACTGCGCCGAAACAAATGCTGATTGTGGTCTACACCGTTCTCAACTTGCAGATGATAACTTATTGACCCGTGGATGCAGACTAAAAATGAATTGAATCATTGTCGGGGTCATATGTGAGTGGTGACCATAGGCCAGGTTGATCTTTGGTAGAACTGAGACAAGAGGATAGCGCGAGGTCAATCAGTGTCATGCGCATCATATTTCTGCAGCTAATATTCTCCGTGCAGACACTGGCATACTTTGATTCGTATGACTGATAATATGGACAGTTGAAACATATAACATGGATCATAACAGTATAGAAACGGTCGAGTAATGATCTCGCTGGTTCTTTTACTCAGAGAGAGAGACGAACGTACGTCTGTAACTTGGACATCGTTGTCACGCCACGCGCACAGCAGGTGCACTACATTTTTCACATGTACTTCATATTGCTTCTTGTCTAGTTCAAATGCATTGCGTTCTGAATTAATTTATTATTGGTACAACAATGTAGCACAGTGCTTGTATTGCAATGTAAAAAGCAATTATCGAATTTTGAAAAGGAACCTGATTATCTGACGCAATCGATAAGACTGCCTATGCATCCAAGCTGTGCGTGTTATTCTCGTCCAAGTAAATTGTGTGTTTGCGATTGAAGGACAAAGTTCCAAAATCTGCGGTCTCATTCTGTGTATATTGTATACTGTGGACAGGACCGAGGCTTTCCGACCCCTGTGGGCGATTATCGAGGCAGGTTCGCTGTCGGATGCTGGCTACAGTAGAAGCGGTAAGCACTCGTCTGCACCACCCCCTCTCTGTGCCCAAAACCGATTTGTGCAAGCACCTGACCCACCACACACACACACACCATATCACCAGTAATCTCGATGATCAGATGAGTGGAAAAACAAATATGTGATCATGGTGATCCCGATTTCCGGTCTCATGATGAAATCGTTTCTAGTATTCTGTGATTTTATTTCATTTTATATTCCCTGGACAATTTTATTCCCAAGTGATAATATATATTGAGATGTATTGGCGTGAATACGAATCGCTGAACTCACGAGCTTGTTTGCCGCTCTCTGTTACTTTGTTTGAAAGAACACAAATTTCCACAAAAGAACATCAAAAACAAATGCTCACCGAAATTGCGGAGTTGCGTAATCCGCCGCTCGGACCGCCTCGCGACCTTCTCGCCCGTACAGTCCGATCCCAACACTGGCTTGACGAATCATGGCCACATCGTTCCCACCGTCTCCGACGGCCGCTGTGACCGGGGTTCTTTTATCCCCGCGTTCCTTCAGGCCCAGTTGAACCATTTGAATAATGGACGCCTTTTGCATCGGGGTCATTCGACAGCACAGGACAGTATTGACGTGTAGACAAAGATCCAAGAATGCGGGACGAAGAGCGGGCTATGGGAGCATGGGATCAAAACAAAATGCGTGTGTAAAAGAACTGGCAACTACTCAGTAAGCATCACTTCTACTGCAAAATGTGTGAATAACAAAAACTTTGAAGGAAGTAGTGAACAGCATCAAAAACGTGTCAGTTTCTTTTTTATCGAAATACTTGAACAGCAATACACCGTGATGAATAATTGTGTTTCTGGTTCAGAGCAGAAGTCAGTGGAACAACTCCTCTTGGGGTCGAAAACTCCGGTGACCCCCATAGATAGACAGAGAAAAACAAACACACAAAAGTAAACCGAATGTGCAAGATGGAACCAAAGAACAACAAAAAACAACCGTTGTCTGTTTTTCTCCATCGCCCTCCTCTGTACCCGAATCTCATCCTGTTCTGGGGAATTATTCTTGGTGTGCTAGTAGCAAGCGTGTTTGCATTCCGATGATAATAATGATGGACTTTTATGTTAAAAAATCAGTGTACCGATTCCCGTACAAATCCATTCAGGAGAAAGTTGACCCGTTTCACATGGGAACAATGAAGTCCCAGAAAATTCCATGACGTTCGGACGAATGAGTCAATTTGGTTGATCCATTCAAATTATTGTACTAGTCAACGGCAGTCTTCAAAGTTTGTTCAAATCAAAAACAATTAAACTCTCCTAGAGACAGTTATCTTATCACATCGGCAAAAAACACAAATCAAACTTCCTTCATGAGAAAAATTAGTAACTGAACTTTCAGTGAATTAGATCTATCCAACTTCTTACTGATATTGTTCCCGATTGTATACCGTAAAATCTAATCTCGCTAAAGCTATGTTTGAAGTCGTTTAATGACTCACTTAAAGCAGTGATGCAACTGGGCTGTTCCATCTGATGCAGCTTATATTACGCTTGAGTGTTTGGAATAGGCAGCCAACAAACCAACTGTGAAGAGAATCGGGCTATCTCAAATAGTCTTCCGTTTTCGGATCTGCTCCTATAAATGTGTTTTTTCCTTCATGGACCTGTTTGCGACCTGTTGTGTCCCAGGTTAAGTAGGTAGAACAGTATGCAGTGAATTAACCAACACGTTTATTGCAGATGGTACATATTAAACCGGTCCATAGACTGGTGAGCAAACAGATACGGGTAATAGGTAGGAACGCGGACTGGCAGGTCATAAAAGGCCTACACGTCACCCGTCAAGCCGGCATTCAAAGTGTCAAGAAATCTACGGAGCAGTTCGGCCACAGGCATGTATGGCAACCGTATCAGTCACTGATGGGTCACAACCCGTCCTATTTACAAATTAAAGGATTGATACTCCTCCGAACGGTGTGCACCTCTGGGTATCGATGCACCACAAAGATGACGACCAAACTCTCTTTCTCTCTGTCATGAGTTAGACATATTTAAAATTGGCGTTTAGTGACTTATAATAATCTACATTTGTTACATCACCCTTATTGTGTTCAAAGGAAAACCGGTCGAGTATGATCAACTCCGGTATAGCTTTCCAGAAATGAAATATGAAGAAACCATTAATATCGATTGCTCATTCGTTCAATCACCGATCTTTTATCTGATTCGGTCGTTTAACAGTGCCCCTTTAAACTGGCCTCCGTTGACAGTAATTTACTGTAACAAGGCAGGGTAGTTATCATTCAATTATGACAGTGACAGATCAGGATGACCCCGTATATTTCGTCACCACCAGGATCACACTCTGGTAAATAATGATAATAATACTGCTCATTATTGACTCAGCACGGAATCACGGCTGTTTTCTAGTCACCCCGAATGCCAGAAATAGATTTCTACATTCGCCGTCTGTTCGTCGCTATGGCATTGGGTCAATTCTTTGTTGGATTGATCCGTAGCGCATCATATTGCGTCACCAATCAGTGCAAAATTGTGCACACATGAAAAATCAACAAAACACCACATGCCGGGTTGTGACAGAATACACGGTGAAAGTTTTAAACACTCAAACATCACCCATCTTCCCCAGCATTCATCAATAATTCTGAGAATAGATTTGCCGAAAACTTCGTTTATTTTTAAAATATTTTTCACCGAAACCAATATTACTGTAACATCTAAACCAACAACAACATATGCAGTCCAAACGATTGCCGAAAGTAGTCAGGCATTATTTGATCGAAAGTGGTTTTGTAATAATTCTATGTCACTTGATTAATTTGCTTGACTCTTGTTCCATTTGACTTATAGTTTGTAAAATTATGCATCGTATACATTTACAGGATGTTTGAAATAGGGTTTCTCATCGAGGATTGTCTTTCTCTGGGTCAATTTGTTGCTAACTGAGTTCTGCGGCCTTCTAGTGGAAGTCAACTTGGTGTGTTCTTATCAGCTGGGTTATATACCTGTCCTTTCAGTCCCAGCCCCGCGCATAGGTATCTGCACATTCATGCTGAAACCGGTAGATAAAGTTTGATTTTGCTTGCACAAGTAGGCTCTCCTTATTGGCATAAGTGTCTTCTCTCATGTGCTTCCGTTTGGTTGCTTCATCTCTCCGCGTGACTGCAGGATTCACGTGTTGTTTCACACATTCAAGTGACGTCATGCCCCGAGTGAAGGATAGCAAAGGCGAATATAATTCTCTACCCATAATCGCTGTGTTATTAACAGTATAACATTTATAATAAAACAACACACGGCGCATCGATTTTTCGATACACTCCTGACATTTAGTCCTGATGTATTGAAAGAAACAACGTCTTCCAATTGTGAAACTGACGTAACGTAGATGAATCGTTCAACCAACTGGATTGCACTAATTTTAAATTGGCCAACATTTTGGGGTAACCATCTATATGGAATATAATCTCTTTGGTACAACGCGACACGTTTATTCATCTCTAATACAATTTGTGTGTGGGCCTTTGCTTCTGTCTTTCCGGAATGTCCCATATTAAATAATGACTATGAAGCGTAGTATAATTGTGCCTCCTTTGCAAACCATTGCAGAGAAGGAAGCTGGTGATGTTTCTGATCTTCTGTTCTAATACTTTTTTCCATAAAACCGTTTACCATCAGAGTAACCATCACCGACGCTTCAGTTACCCATCTATTGTCTTTCAGACAGTATTGATCTTGAGTAACGCATCTCTCTCACACACCTAAACCGACTGAATAGTTAGTTGTTCAGCTAAAATAGTATCACATGATAGTAATGCAGGATTTTACTCCATCATATAGGTAATTTCACATGGTACATGAACTGCAGACTAAAGCGTTGGAATGTGACCCCATGGGGTCTCATCAGCAGTGCGAATTCATTAATCCGACTACGAATCGAACCTGGGACTTCACAGATAGAAAGCAAGCATACTTAACCAATTGGCGACCGCACGCTAACTAGACTGGTTTTCATCTCACCTATCTACCATCTATCACAAATCATCTTTACAAGGTTGTTTCTGGGATCACACATCATTCAGTTTGACTCTAGCCTCCCGGGGTTAGGATTCTGTTGGAAACATTCCAAATCTGACTAAATGACCCAGCAGCAGCAACAGCAACAGCAGCAGAGTGTTGATGGCTTGCGAGTTGCCTTTGGTGATGACACGCCTTCAAGAGATATTGTGTTGCCAAATGTCAAGTGTATGATGCGTGGAATCCGATACGAATCCCCAGCAGCTGCAATGGTGTCATTTATTGAACTGGTTGACGGCATGGTCGAGCTGTTTCATCAAATGTTTTGAGCGCATGGAACTGTGTGTGCATGAATTCTGGTGGTGGAGAATACTTTGACAAAATCGAATGCTTATTTTTGTGTAACAAACAAAACGATTTGTGCATCCGGAAGCGTGTTGCTCAGCCGTCGTATACTTCAGACTCCTAAGTGAGTCGCATACTAATGGAATAGCTAGCTGACTTTTGCATGCTAAAATTCTGATACGGGTTTATTGTTTCGAATTTTTTCGCCCCAACCCATTCCCGCTTTGCTGCATGAACGATGAGGCATATATTTTATCAGTGTTCTCACGCGAGAATTCCATCCGGATCTGATGGTGATCATGAGACAAAGGAGCAGTGCAATACTTGACTCGTAGACGCTTCAGAAGCGTAAATAGGATAAATGTGAGGTCAGTACAGGTCATGAAAATCTACTAGCGTTATCTATCCGAAAGACATGACCGGGACAAGAAGAGTTGTTCATTCCGAGCAACGATAAGTCTATCGACAAATTGGCGTACGTAAAACAAAACGTCTCATTTGGTACAGGTCACCATAATTTCCATAAACACACAAGACAAATAATGGAACGGTCCGACGGTAGATACGTATTTTCTGTGGTTAGGATTCTGAACACAGTAATTCGTTCCAGAAGGTCTTGTCCATTGTTGGCCGTTGCGGGGAAACCATGAATCGCATTCTTTTGCGCACTACAACCATACTACTACTACTACCATACTACTTGCCAATATGAGTAGTACCTCCCAACACTAGCTTACTCGAATACAAACCGAAGGGAATAATACGTACCTTTTTTGTTTGCGTACACGCTTATTCTATGATTGTTGTTTGAAAAAAGATTTACTGTTTGAGAAAAAACATTGAGCAGAAAGTTTGCGCATCGTGGACCATTGTAACGCTGGAATTCATCAGTATTTCAATATGAAAGGTGATACAGGCTAGCCTAACTCCGAGATAAGCACTCCAACAACCTTGGTCGTAATAATTGTCCATAATTAGTCAGCTATTACTCCTCCACGTTAGTTCATTATCATAAACTGTTTGTCACCAGTTTTGAATAGTTCTGTTAGGAAATTTATTGATGGGTATCCACAATTATATCTGTACGGATTTCTATTGTATTATTTTGCTTCAGTTTGATGAAAGTAAAATCTGTACAACATTTGACGCTTATTCTTGTCTAAACCAATGCCGACTTTGGTTCACAGTGAACTGATCTATTCCAAGAGTCCAACAGGATATGTTCCAGGAAAAAAACAACATGCATGAACCAGACCAATACATCTTTTTTTTAACTCGCGG